CATTATTCTTCTGCCGTCGGAAACAAAGTACGGCTAAAATGGCGATCAATAGGATGAGCAGTAATATAGCGAAACCCATGAGAGACCACGTGGCGGCCCGGTATCCCTTAAACTCGGAGTACGGGAAGGGACTGGGATATATCTTAGTCTTATCCTGCAACGGCATAATGAACTGGTTGAAAAAGTCTGCCTGACTGGTCCGGTAGCCCTCGTTAGGCGTATTTGCATATCTAAATACAGGTGTATACTGTCCGGTACGCCATTGATACTGGAGGTACGAGGGGTTATGAGAGGTGTACTGTTGCCACGAGTAGAAACTCATATACCCGGATGGTATTTGTCCCAATCGGGTGAATACGTAGAATTGTTTGGCATATGTGTTGGATAGGGATCTCTCGGCGGCCGGGCTGTCGCGTATGTATTCGGTGATCCAGGCGTAGAATAGGTCATCCATATGGGACACACCATAAGTTTGTTTGGAGATGTGCTGTGCGTTTTTCTGTATGGGTCCGAAACTACGAGTGCCCTCGTATTCAAAGGCAAACAGCCAGACCTTACCGCCTCCCTGGGAGTGTAGGCGCGCCACGTAGTCGGACGGCGCGATGTATAGAAAGTCTCCCAAAAGCTGTATATTCAACAAATAAAAGTAATTAAAATAAAGTTAACTATTTGCATCACTTTGATTATTATTAAAACTTTTTAAAACTATTTTAATGAGCTTTTAAAATTAGAGTAGTTTTGTATTAATAGCTAATTTATTTGTTAACTATGATTAAATTTAAAAAATAATTTAGATTTTAATTCATTTAACAAATATAATTAAGTATATGATCATAAATACTGTACTATTATTATTTATTATTAATAAAAAAATAATTATTAATAAGATAATAAAATTAAAATCATATTAAAATAACCCACCTCAACCAAAGTCTTATCATTCTGGTACTCGATTCCGCCATTCTGATAATTATTCTGGTAACTATTTAACCCTGTATTTTGGTAAGGTAGGTTATTCCTAATAGCATTTAGGGGTCCATTATTGCGGGTATTTTGCAATGCATTAGCAAACTGTGTATTAGTGGCCGTACGACTGAAATTACGGCTAAAGTACTGGTAATTAATGGCCGACGCGATGATGTCCTCAGAGGCCCACTCCTTAAGGAAAGGCCTGATAAGGAAAGCAATCTTTTCCTCATTAGTCTGTCGACTGTCCGCCCTTTCCTTCTGAAGGTAGTACTCCAGTGAACCCTCATCTCTGGTGAAGCCAATCATATACGAGCACTGCTTGAATCGGTTGTTTTGGTACAACTGGAGCGGCCAGTCCTTCAATATGGCTGATTGGGTGAGGTTTCGGTCGACCACTGGTCTGAACCAATAGGGCTGAACGTTGCGGTCGTAGTCCCTGTCCCGCGATTTACCCATCATTGCATTCCTGTC